AATTTTTGCTTTCTTTGGTGGGGTTCCTCAAGCAATGGAAAATTTGCTATTTTGATTGATGCAGGTTGCTTCTCAATAAGAGCATTCTCATTGTCAAAATTAAAAAAATCACCATGACACCTTCTCAATTGTCTTCCCATATTCTTCATCATCAATAACTTCTAAATAGAATTTACTATTAAACTTAATCTCAAATTCTTTAATCAACTTGGAAACTTCATTTCGACACCATTATTCATTCTTGAAAGACTGAAAACATAAAACATTATTTATAAAACAAAATGAACTTAAATTCCAAAAAAATAGCAAATCTATAACATTGTATCAACAAATAAATATTTATAACAAAAAATTAAATCACCTCCAAGGCTTCCGCATCCGAAACAACATGTAAACCTTTATCAACAGTTCTTTGGCCAAAATAATTATGTTAGTCACAAAATATTTCCTATTAAGACAGCAGGTGTAGAACCTTCCAGCAACATTTCTTCGATTGATCATATAAAAAACAAGATGCTAAAACAACACATAAAATGAAATATGTAAATAAATGCACAAAAATAAATAAATAAGCGCACAAAGAAAATAAACAATAATGAATAAAACTAACCATTAAACAATGAACATCAGCAGTGGGACGAGCACTATGCATGTCCCCTTTCTGAATTTTAATACCAAAATTATCCAAACACTCAACGAGCTTGTCCCTTACCAAGCCAGACCAATTATATCCATCAACAACAGACTTTGATTTCAGAAACTCAAAATACACATATGAAATACGGGAACAAGAACTTGGAACAAGTAGTGTATATAAAGCATACATCACATAAAATTTCCAGTAATCTGCAGCTAAAACCTGTACCTCCCCTTCCAAAATCCCTCTCAAATCTGTCAGATATCAAATCATATTGAAAAGCAAACTCCCTTGCGTGAGGATAATACTCATATGCATTTTCGGTTAAAATTGGATAACGATTAGCACCGTACGGAAAACCATAAACACAAGCAATATCCTCGTAAGAGAAATACCATTCATCGCCATTAGACAACAAAAAACATCCATTCTCTGTATTCCAAAAACTCATTAGTTCAAGCACAGGCTCCACTGATATAGAGCATGGTTGAACAAGCAGCAGACCCCTAAAATAAGTACCATCTATAACCAGTTTCTTTGCATGATTCAACAGACGAGATAAAAATTGATTTAGGGAACTTATCTTTTTAGGAATGTAAGAAACCTGAGATACTTCGACGTCTTAGATATTTCAACAAACTTTTATTCACGAAGAACAAAACAGAGTAACCGGGAAAATAAAACAATGATAATCAAACGAAAGGCATGGAAAGAAACGAGAAAGAACAGGGCGGGAGATGAAACGATATATTAGAAAATTACATAAATTAAGAAAAAGGAATTAAGTTTTCTTTTTTTCTTTCCAAACATAAATAAAATTCACACAAAACAAAAGCACATATTCAACCATAAAATATCACGCAAATAAAACAATAATAGCACAATCGAAGTAATAGAAAAATATAATTTTCATTTTTGAAAAAATTATTAAAATAATAGCACTAACTCTACTGCTAATTTTGCATGTGTCAGTAAAACAAATACCATCATTAATAATTTTTTAATAAAAAATATTGTATTTCATATAAAATGGTAAATAGCACGCATTATACATAAATCAATCACATGTATAACGTAATAAAAACACATCACAGGTTTTTCATTTTTAAACTTAAATTACATAAATCTAAAAAATCAGCAACTCGATATATCTGTAAAATCACCCACATTACAACGAAAAATTATTACATTTGTTATATTTAAACTCTAAAAGTACTTTTTCTTTAACGTGTGCCGTAATAATTAATGAATACTATTAAAGTAAAATCTAAATACTATTATTCAATAATTTTATTAAACTAATAACGAATCATTATTTTAAATAGCAAATATTACATAGAAAAACATCACGTATCTAACACAAGAATAGTACACACACAACAATAAATATAATCTCGACACAAGTTCATATAGATAAAATAGCAACACAATGTGTCTAGAAAATCACACACCGTGTAGAAAAATGCACAAGAAATGCATTTAAAAATATATATTGTAGACAAAAAAAATTGTGTTATATTTTTATAAACACAAAATTTGTACAAATTATATTTGTATTTAAATTTAATGCGGGTCCTATTCTCTATTCGGATCCTTTGATTCTCTCTCCGGGTCGATCCATTTTTCCAATTTGGATTTGGGTGGCTTCTTTGATCCGAAGGGATTTTGGTCTTCGGTTTGACTTCGTCGGTTTTTAGGAAACTTTGGTATCCGTGTTGGCGACTTTGATCGTCGACTTTGGATCGATGCCTCCTTTGGATGATCCGACGGAATTTGATCTTTGAGGGAGGGATTTAGTGCTCCATAACGCTTTTGGCGGCGTGTCCCTTTGACTTTTGGATCGAAGAGGGCCTGGTTTGCGCCTTTTATGAAGAACGCGACGAACATCTTCAAGCTTTGGGAGCGACTTTGGAGGCTCTTCCTTGGCTTTGATGGATTCCTCGATGGCTTTGAGAGATTTGATCCTTCATCCGGCTCGGACATACGACGAAGAACGTTAACTTCATCGATTCGTCAACCAATATTGGATCATTTGTCCAAATAGGTGACTTTTCGACGAAGAACGCTTCGAAGGACACGAAGAACAATGAAGAACATTGCAGAGAGTCTAGAGAGACTTACCCTTGCGCGAGTCTTCAAATGAACTTCGGTGTCTAAATGAATTGGCCAAGGCTCCTATTTATAGGGGAGGGTGGCATTGGCTTCCTTTTCGGATGGTGCTACGTGGATGGAAAGATTTTATAATCTTTCCTTTTCCCTCGGATGCCGTTTTCCATTTTTGACGGATTTGATTATGCACCTTCCTTTCTCGTCAAAATCTTTATATCATTGCCTTTTTTGGAAGATATTAATTTATATACTTCCTTTATTGACAAGATCTTTATATCATTGCCTTGTTTGGAAGATATTAATTTATATACTTCCTTTATTGACAAGATTAATTTATTTTGCTGCCAAATTTATTATGGCTCTATTTATGCACGTAATATTTGTACGATATCTTCCATTTTAAGCAGATTTTGCATTAATGGTTGATATTTATTGTACAAAAAAATTAACATATGTGCATAATTAAATACCATATATTTATTTTATTGGAATTTTATTTTCTTCCAAAATACATGATATTTAATTGATTTTAGACATATATTTTTAGTGTCTACAAAATGCCCCCTCGAGACTTGTTTAAGCCGACGCAAAATGTTTAAGGCGTGAACGAGTCTCGAAACATAGAAAAAGAATTTTTTTTTTTTAATGGCGTTTTTTTTTTTTTTTTGCCATTTTTTTTTTTGCATTTTTTTTTTGTAAATGGCGTTTTTGCCATTTTTTTTATGCAAATTTTTTTTTTTTTTAATGGCGTTTTTGCTTTTTTTTTTTTTTTTTTTTGCAAAATTGACAATTTTATTTTTTTTTGCAAAATTCTCTTTTTTTTTTTTTTTTTAAATGGCGTTTTTGCCAAAAAATTTTATATATATATATATATACACATATCATATATATATATTCTTTCCTTTATTCTTTGTTATTATTTTTATCTTCCTTCCTTTTTTTTTATTTCCTTATCTTCTTCCTTCCCTTATACATGTCTTTCCATATCTCAATTTTTTTTAAGACACTATATAAACCCCTCACCATGAGAGAACTTTATCATTCTCAACTTCTCACAATTTTGATTTCTCTCATTCTAGGGTAGGCTTATTTCTCTTGTGTTGTTTTTTTTTTTTTTTTTTTTTTTTTTTTATCTTTTGATCTTTGCTTATATATATTTTTTTTGTAGACGAGATGGCTTACTTCAAGGATGTCTCCTCCCCCTCTGGAAACGCCGAGTTGGTGATTTGCGAGTTTGAAGGTCAACCGCTGGACAAGGCGACTCGTCTATTGGTGCATCCACCACTCATAGGACGCGGAGCTGCTCGCCCTCGCTTGGAGGTCCCAAATTTCCCAAAGACGTGGTCTCGGAATGTCGCTGGCGGAAAGCATACCTTGCAATCCTCACTTCATCAACACGTGTCAAACGATGTTCTTCCACTTCCAACCTTGGGGCGGCGGATCATGGATGGGGCGTGCGTTTGGAATGGTCTTCCTTCTTTTGATGGCAACTTTTCGTACGTGGCCGGCTATTGGGAATGGGCGGAGGATGTGCTGGATCGATGCGAGATTCCACTAAAGAGAGGATGCATTTACGATGCGGTCTATGCTTCCTTGTTCTCCTACGACTATTCTCCGGAGATCGTCAAGGCCGTTTGCGAGGCGTGGTGTCCCAAAACCAACACCCTTTTGACTGCCGCCGGTGAAGTGTCGATCTCTCTCCGTGACTTGGCGTCCTTGGCGGGCCTCCCCATACTCGGCTCATTTTACGAAGAGGTGGTACCAAGCGCAAAGGAGCTATATGGCAGTAAAGAGGATAGGAAGCTGGTTCCCCGTTCGTGCCGATACCTGTTGCATGCCTATCACCTTATTCGGAGTCGTGACAAAGGTCGACGTGGCGTCCGCACAACCGACTGGATTTCTTTTTGGTGCGAAAAGACCGTCAAATACGAGCGTCCTCAAATTCGTCGTGGCAAGGAGTCTACTCGTTCTTCTCGGCCTGATGCGACTTACAATCCTACCGGAGAGATTGGTGCCCACGAGCCATGGTCGAAGGCGCAGGAGTCATCTTTTGCCAAACTCAAAGTTGGACGGGAGCACCTTGAGGAGACTTTTCTCGCAGCGTTCCTTTCTTGTTGGCTTTGCATCTTTGTGCTTCCGCTCGACGATGTTGGTTTGATACGTCCTTCGACTTTCAAGATGGCAAGTGTCCTAGCGTCGGGATTTCCAGTAAGCTTGGCCATTCCAGTCTTAACCAGTATTTATAAGGGGCTAAACCAGATCGCGGATTCATCATGTCCTGGGAAAGTTCGGTCGACAATTCCTCTCCACTTTTTGACCGGATGGATCGCTGAGTATTTTCAGACCCACTACGGCGTATGGAAGGGAATCCGTGGTCCGGGGATGGTGAAGCACTCCGGGGCTGTTAGTGCTCGTGCGTATAGAGCAGATGTTGCATGCCGAAAGATTTTACGCGGTGACTACTTTCGTTGGGCTTGCACCATGATCACGAAAGATTTCGACGTACGGTTTGTTGATGACGGGAAGCGCGAAGACTACGAGCAAGAATACTTCATCTCCATTCGCTCTTGTTTTCTGACTTTGCGGGATGGATTTCGATGCTTCGTGGAGCCGTATAGTCCCCACCGTTTTTGCCGTCAATTTGGTTTTTTCCAAGAGATTCCCGGAGTTCTTTTGAAAGACGTCCGTTGCTGCGCTTTTGAGGAAGGCTATCAACATTGGCACCAAAGTACTTACTTGAAATCTTCAGCCGAAGTTATTCTTCCACGCATTCCTGCGATTCCGAGGGGATTTTCTTCCGACGTATACAAGAAGTGGTGGACTCAAGTTTGCGGGTCTTTCTTGGATAAGTATATCCCGCCGGTACAAAAGACCACCGATCAGACCAAGCCATCGGATAAAGCTCGAAAAATGCCGCTACTTATCTCGGGTGTTCCTGAGAGGAACAATGGAAATTCAAGTACTCACAATGTCGGTTCTTCAAAGCGGACGGTACCCTCGGTCTCTGAACGAAGCAGTAGTGAGCATGATGTTCATTGGAAGCGAGCTCGTCGAGATCCTCATATCATCAACCCGTCAAGTCCTCGTTCGAGCCGACACCATTCTTCGAGCAATTTCGCGAGAGAGGTAACTTCTATCTCTCTTTTTTCTCTTTTTTTTTTTTTTTTGACATGATCCGTTTTTTTTTTATCCCCTTTTTCAGTTGGAGCAAAGAATCCCGAGTATGGATGAAAAGATGGCGAGCCGAGATTCTATTGTTGAGGTGATTGGAGAAAGCAGAGGTGTTTGCAATAAGCAAGTAAAGGATGCTCCAACCAAGCCAATAGTTGTTCATTCCGTTGTGCCCGCGGTTTCAGAATTCTGTGGCGCGAATTTTGTGAAAGAGATCCAACGCGAATATATAGGAAAAGTATGGTCGGATCTTCGGGGTAAGCTTTTGAGGACACCAGCTCGTTTGCTTTCCTCGATTAAGGACGAGGTTGATGTAGTGCTCCAATCAATGAAAAGCTTTCAGTATTCTGACATTTCTCATATTGAGGACCGAGTCAAGGCCCTTTTTGATGACGCTGCATCTTTTGATGAGGCATGTTCTGACTCGATCGACGCCGTATCCTTAGCGGCTCGTAACCAACAGATTTCCGAGATCAAAGATCGACTGTCGCACCTTGAGACGAGGCATGTTGAGGAGTGCGAAGCTATTAAGGAGTTAGAGGGGTGTGTGGAGAATATTGACGTGAAGCTTCGCTCTTTACAAGAGCAAAAAAGAGAGAATATTTCCCTTATTAAGCGACGTCAAGGAGTTAATGAGAATATCACCATTCAAATTGCTGAAGTCAAGGATGAACTCGCCGCTGTAGAGAATGTCCCCGCGCAAGACGAAGAATACTTAAAAAGCTTAGAAGAGTTGTTGGATATTAGCAAAGAAGAGTTGTATAATCTTAATGTTTAAGATCAATTTGTACTCTTCATTTTGATTGCCAATCAATAAATTTAAATTCTCTCTTCTTTTTTTTTTTTTATATATATATTTTTTTTGAGCATTTTTTTTTTTTTTACCCAAATCCTTTATCACTTATTTATTTATTTCTTTATTTATTTGACTGAACTTGAAGGTATATCTCAAGCTGCCTACGTACCCGGTAAAGGGATCAAGTCATAACGTAGTTCAAAGCAACTTGAATTTGCTTTTATTGTTATTTTGCAGTTTATCCTCATGCTAAGGAGTCTTGATTTGATTTGAAGGTCTCACGCATAATATCTTTTGAGGAACCTCCCGTTGATTGGCCCTATCCGGAGTCCGTCTTGAGATGTCAACTTGTATGCACCATTCGTGTAAACCTGAGTGACGACGTAGGGTCCATCCCACTTGGATAAAAATTTATTTCCCGAACGAAAGTTGATCACAATGGGCCTTCTCACAGCAAGAACCAAGTCCCCGATTTGAAAGGATCGTGATTTGACTTTTTTATTGTAAGCTCGAGACAATCGTGCTTGATAACACTCCAGTCTTTGTTGAGCTTGTAGTCTTTTCTCGTCGAGAGCCTCTAGCTCTTCGAGTCTTAATCTGACATTTTCTTCGGTCGTCAATTCTTCCTGGAGAGCGATCCTTAGTGAAGGAATTTGTCTTTCCAATGGGAGGACAGCTTCGACCCCATATACAAGTGAGTATGGTGTCGCTTGTGTTGGAGTGCGGAATGTAGTACGATAGGCCCACAAAGCTTCACCAATGCGGTCATGCCAATCTCTTTTTGATTTGGAGACAACCTTTTTCAGCAAGTTACAAAGTGTTTTATTGAATGCCTCTGCGAGTCCATTTGCCGGTGCATAATACATTGAGGACTTCTTTTGTTGAAAGCCAAACTTTTCACAAAGCTTGTCGATGTGAGTATTGGCAAAAGATCTTCCATTATCAGTGATGATACACCGAGGAACTCCATAACGGTAAATGATGTTGACTCGTATGAAGTCAGCTACCGTCTCCTTTTTGACTTCTTTCAAAGGAACTGCTTCTGCCCATTTGGAGAAGTAGTCTGTTGCGGCCAAGATATAGAGATGTCCAGCGGACGACTTTGTGAGTGGTCCTACAACGTCCATGCCCCAGGTATCGAATGGCCACGAAGCAATAGTTGGGTGCAATGGTTCCGGTGGTTGATTGATAAAGTTAGCATGGAATTGACACGGTTGGCAGCTCCGTGCGAATTCTATACAGTCTTTAACCATGGTTGGCCAATAATACCCCATCCTCTTTATTCGGAAGTGTAACTTTGGGCCAGCTTGATGAGCTCCACAGATTCCGGCATGAGTTTCCTCCATAGCTTGTTTGGCTTGATGATTGCCGAGGCATCGAAGGAACATGTTCTCGAACGACCGACGATAGAGTATGCCGTTGAAGTAGGCGTAGCGTGCAGCTCTTCTTCGGATATCTGCTCGTCTGCGCGGGTCACTCGGGAGCTTGTCATATTTTAAGAAATCTAATATTGGTTGCCGCCAATCTTCTTCTTCTTCTTCAATTTCAAACACCTCGATGAGGTGATTTACTTCTTTTTCAACACATTCTTCTTCTTCATACTTGCAGGAATCCACCCAAACTTTGCGTATCGGAATATACACCTGTTGATCCGGGATGGATAGAGTCGATGCCAATTTAGCCAGAGCGTCAGCTTGCCCATTCTCTTTCCTTGGGACATATTCAATAGAGACATCCCCGAGCAACTCAATGAGTGCCTTAGCATACTTTAAGTAAGGCATTAGTTCTGGTTTCTTCACTTCAAACTCTCCAGTGATTTGATTTACAACCAGCTTGGAATCCCCGTATACTTGAAGTTGGCGTTGCTTGATATCTACCGCCATTTTTAGGCCGAGGATGAGTGCTTGATACTCAGCCACATTATTTGAACACTTTTCTTTTAAGGCAAAAGAGTATGGAAGGACTTCTCCTTGTGATGTGACAAATATTACTCCGGCTCCAGCTCCATTTTTGTGTGATGAGCCGTCAAAATACATTTTCCATGGTGGGGTGATTTCGAGAAAAAACGCGTCTTCATCAGGGAAGTCGTCAGACAACTCCCACTCAGCAGGGATGGGATGATCAGCAAGGAAGTCAGCCAATATTTGTCCTTTTACAGCTTTCTGTGGTACATATATGATTTCGAATTGTTGCAGCTGCAGGTACCACCTCGCGAGTCGATCAGAAAGGACAGGCTTTGACATGACATATTTCAAGGGATTTGCTTTGGACACCAACCGGATAGTGTGCGCTTGGAAGTAATGCTTCAACTTTTTTATGGCGAAGATGAGCGCCAAGCATATCTTTTCCACCGGTGAATAGTTTAGTTCATTTGGTGTCATCATTCTGCTGAGGTAGTAAAGGGCATTTTCTTTCCCTTTATTGGCTTCCTGTGCTAACAAGGCTCCAACTGAACGCTCTTGTGCAGCGATGTAAAGCGTCAACGGATGTCCAGGAATTGGGGCTGTCAGCACTGGTGGCTTTGTCAAGTAGTCTTTGATACTTTGGAATGCCTTCTTGCATGCTTCATCCCAATGGAAAGGCACTCCCTTCTTCATGATTCGGCTGAAAGGTTGACATCGTCCAGCGAGGTTAGAGATAAATCTTCTTATATATGCTAATTTTCCTTGTAAGCTTTTTAGCTCGTGGATGTTACGAGGCTCAGGCATTTTTGTGATGGCATCTATCTTTGCCTGTTCAATCTCAATTCCACGACTATGGACAATGAATCCGAGGAATTTTCCGGAGGTGACTCCAAAAGCGCACTTGAGAGGATTCATTTTAATTGGTAGCGCCTCAACCTTTCAAAAACCTTTCTTAAGTCTTGCAGGTGATCTTCTTTTCTCTTGGATTTGACAACCAAGTCGTCAACATAGCACTCTACATTTTTGTGTAGCATGTCATCAAAGATCTTTTGCATTGCTCTTTGGTAGGTTGCCCCAGCATTTTTCAATCCGAAAGGCATAACTTTGTAACAGTAGATACCTTTCGGTGTACGAAAGGCGGTTAACTCTTCGTCTTCAGGTGCCATACGAATTTGGTTATATCCAGATGATCCATCCATAAAAGAAAGCGCTTCATGTCCTGTCGTTGCATCAATCATCAATTCAGTTATGGGTAAAGGAAAATCATCTTTTGGGCATGCTTCGTTTAAATCTCGGAAATCCACACAAACTCGGATTTGTCCATTCTTTTTCTTTACAGGCACGATGTTGGAAATCCATTGGGGGTATTTGACTTCCCGGATGAACCCCACTTCAATGAGTTTGTTGACTTCATTTTCAATTTGAGGGATGAGTTCAGGACGGAATCTTCGTTGCGCTTGCTTCACAGAGCGAGCTCCTTTCTTCACACCTAGATGGTGGACCGCAACTTTCGGGTCTAAGCCGGGCATTTCTTTATATGACCAAGCGAAGACATCTTGGAATTCGTTGAGAAGTCGGATGTAGGCATTCATATCATCCTCACCCAGCTCTTTGTTGACATAGACAGGTCTTGGGTGATCTTCATTTCCCAAGTTGACTTCTTCTAACTCGTCCACTGCAGCTTTGATCCCTTCTTCAAGCGCGGCGGGTGCATTTCCTGCATCTTCTTCAATCATTGTTTCTTCTCCCCCTTCAGTGATGTAGCAGGATGATGCAACACTTTCTTCATTATCTTCTTTGGGTTTGGTGAAGACAACGGTTTGCCATTTAGCCTTTAAAACTTTACCGCAATGTATCGTCATTTTTGTTTGACGCGTCATGCGGGATGGAAAGCGGCTCTTGATTTCTTCATCCATCTCCACATATTTTGTTGATGTGGAATTCGTCTTGTTTTTCTCTTTATTGATCTTTGGTCCTAACCTTGTGAAGACAGAAGGTTTTAGCCTCTCGAAAACCGATACTCTTGCATTCTTCCCCTTTTGAGGTGAATTGGAAGACAATGTCTCGCTTTCGGTGATATGATGATTTGCAGCCCTTTTGATAGCGATGCGTACGGGAGCTTGTGGCATGTACCCAAGACCAGCCCTCGAACCTTGGGTTGTCTGTGGTGGTAACCTTCCCAGCAGTGATTCCTCATTTGGATTATATCCAGCTTTTGTGAGAAGTTTGTAGGCTTTTGGGCCAAAGCTTTTGTCCTTTTGCAATCGCATAGCCTCTATTTTTTCTTCTTTTCCATTCCTTGTCTGTGATGGGGAGATTGGGTTGAGTGGGGTCTTCGGAAGAGTCAAATCTTTCAGAGGCTCAATTAATGAGTCTGCAGAACCTGAGGCAGGTGTTTTTTCTTTATCTCTTAAGTTTGCCCCCAAGTTTGGTTGTGGTGCTTTGACATCTTCATGTACCTTGGATTTTTTTGCTTCTGTAGAGAAATATTTGGCGTCCGCAAAGTGTGACTCGGCTTCTTCATATGGCTTTGTGTCTCCAAGAACTTTCTTTGTCATTCCATTTTGAGTGTATTTGAAGCATTGGTGCCACTTGATGGAACTACACCATTCTCATGTATCCATGGTCTTCCCAAAAGAACGTTGAAAGATGTCTTTGCGTCTATCACGTAGAACAAAGGGTTAGTTTCCATTTCATCGATTAAGAGTCTCAATCTTATGGTGCCAAGTGCTCTTTGCCCCTCTTGATTGTATCCATGTATTGTCATACGACTCTCGAACAACTGATCTACTGGTATTCCCAATTTTTGCAATGTGTATAGAGGAAGGACATTGACTGCAGCTCCTCCGTCTAAGAATATCCGGTTAATCCTTTGTTCATGGATATAACCCACGACCAGTAATGGACGATTATGGGGTTTGGATCCTAACACCAAATCTTCATCAGTGAAAGTTATCGTGGCACATTCTTCACTCGATTTGTCTCTGATCGCCTTGCCACCTTTCTCGGTAGTGAGACAATATGATTCTTTGTCTTTTATGTCAACTTCGAGAGACCCGAACGTGATTGAAGTGACATTAACAGAAACAGAATCGTCTTCAAGGGTGATCTTTCCTTCATGAGCCAACTCCATGACTTTGTCTTTAAAGATGAAACAGTTATGGATGGGATGTCCTACGACACGATGGTATTTGCAATATCTTGGGTCATCAACCTTTCCAGCTTCCTCCGGTCTTTTTGAATTCGGAAGTTCAATGAGGTTTTCTCTGAGTAGATCGTCAAAGATTCCCGAGACGTCAGAATCCAGGAAAGGATAAGTTTTGGATTGCAACTCTTTAAGGGTTGGCCTTGGCGGTCTTTCTCTCTGAGTTGATTGTCTTTTCCTTGCAACTTCCTTTTCTTTACTTTGGATCTTCATAGGTGCTTTGGTCGTCGCTTTTATGGCCAAGGCTTCTTTTCCAAAAGACTTGATAGGGGCGTTGTTCCCCTTCTTTGCGGCATCATATCTTTCGTATCTTTTTGCTTTTGAAGATTCTTGAACTGGTGGTCCGTGCATCCCGCTTGAAGCCATACTTAACTCCATGTCATGAGCGCGGGTAGCAAGTTCTTCGAAAGTGTGGGGTCGGATCCCTTGCAGGATGTATTTCAACCCCCAGTGCATTCCTTGGACGCACATCTCTATACCGGAGGCCTCAGACAACCGGTCTTTGCAGTTCAAGCTCAAACTCCTCCAGCGGTTGATGTAGTCGATTGCTGGTTCATCTTTCCATTGACGAGTATTGGTGAGTTCTGTCATACTGACGGTCCTTTTTGTGCTGTAGAACCGGTTCAAGAACTCGTACTCCAACTGCTCCCAACTGTCGATGGAACCAGCCTCCAGGTCGATATACCAGTCGAAGGCGTTGCCTTTTAATGACCGTACGAACTGCTTTACCAAGAGATCGCCGTATGTCCCAGCGTTGTTGCATGTTTCCATGAAGTGTGCCACATGCTGTTTTGGGTTGCCTTTGCCATCAAATTGTTGGAACTTTGGTGGTTGATATCCCAACGGCATCTTGAGGGCGTCGATCCTTGAAGTGTAAGGCTTGGCATACATATTTGTTGGCCTTGAACTTCCTTCAAACTCCCTTTTGAGAGCTCCTTTGATATACTCGTCAAGTTGGGATAGATGGATGAAAGAGTCAGATGATGCTTGAAACGGCATTAGTCCCGCCATTTTTTCTTTACCGTGGCGTTGATCCATGGATGTTTCTGCTTCATTTTGGGCCTCCGAAGCATTCTGGTTGGTTGGTTCCGGCTTGTCCAATTTTGCAAGTAGTTTTGCGATGACATTGTCTTGTTGCTGCATGTGTTGAGACATCCCTTCAACAACTTTGGCCAGTGCAACAAGTTGGTCTTCTAAGTTTGAGGCGTTCGTGGTCATCACTGGGGCATAACTCGATGCAGTCGAATGAGTTGCAACTTCTTGAGGGGTGCCCGGTGCGGAGGTACTCTTGAAGCTTTCGTCCTCCTCATAGAGTGAGTTTTGCTCTGTGATTTTCGGATGGGCATCCTCGGAAAATGACAGTACTCTTTTAGCCATATTTCGTGTCATCACTCCAGCATTCATTGAAGCACTTGAGGTTCTTGATGTAGTAGCAGCGACTCCTTTGGCGGTGGCGGCTAGAGCAGTAGCTTTCGACACGGCATTGGAAGTCTTGATTTTGTAGGAAGCCATTGATCTTTTGAGAATTCGACGGAAAGAGAGATGAAAGGTAGAGTCGTCCCACTGGGCGTGCCAAAAATCTGTAGACAAAAAAAATTGTGTTATATTTTTATAAACACAAAATTTGTACAAATTATATTTGTATTTAAATTTAATGCGGGTCCTATTCTCTATTCGGATCCTTTGATTCTCTCTTCGGGTCGATCCATTTTTCCAATTTGGATTTGGGTGGCTTCTTTGATCCGAAGGGATTTTGGTCTTCGGTTTGACTTCGTCGGTTTTTAGGAAACTTTGGTATCCGTGTTGGCGACTTTGATCGTCGACTTTGGATCGATGCCTCCTTTGGATGATCCGACGGAATTTGATCTTTGAGGGAGGGATTTAGTGCTCCATAACGCTTTTGGCGGCGTGTCCCTTTGACTTTTGGATCGAAGAGGGCCTGGTTTGCGCCTTTTATGAAGAACGCGACGAACATCTTCAAGCTTTGGGAGCGACTTTGGAGGCTCTTCCTTGGCTTTGATGGATTCCTCGATGGCTTTGAGAGATTTGATCCTTCATCCGGCTCGGACATACGACGAAGAACGTTAACTTCATCGATTCGTCAACCAATATTGGATCATTTGTCCAAATAGGTGACTTTTCGACGAAGAACGCTTCGAAGGACACGAAGAACAATGAAGAACATTGCAGAGAGTCTAGAGAGACTTACCCTTGCGCGAGTCTTCAAATGAACTTCGGTGTCTAAATGAATTGGCCAAGGCTCCTATTTATAGGGGAGGGTGGCATTGGCTTCCTTTTCGGATGGTGCTACGTGGATGGAAAGATTTTATAATCTTTCCTTTTCCCTCGGATGCCGTTTTCCATTTTTGACGGATTTGATTATGCACCTTCCTTTCTCGTCAAAATCTTTATATCATTGCCTTTTTTGGAAGATATTAATTTATATACTTCCTTTATTGACAAGATCTTTATATCATTGCCTTGTTTGGAAGATATTAATTTATATACTTCCTTTATTGACAAGATTAATTTATTTTGCTGCCAAATTTATTATGGCTCTATTTATGCACGTAATATTTGTACGATATCTTCCATTTTAAGCAGATTTTGCATTAATGGTTGATATTTATTGTACAAAAAAATTAACATATGTGCATAATTAAATACCATATATTTATTTTATTGGAATTTTATTTTCTTCCAAAATACATGATATTTAATTGATTTTAGACATATATTTTTAGTGTCTACATATATAATAAAAAAATAAATAATCTTCCAGTGCATCAGTAAAAGTAATGATTGTATTTATATAATTTTTTATAGTTTTATTAAGATAATAATATCATATTTAATATTAATGCATTGATAACACTAACCCTACTGCTAATTTTGCGTATGTTAGTAAAATAAGTACCATCTATTATAAATTTTTTAATAAAAAATACTGTATTTCGTATAAAATGATAAATAGCACACATTATACATAAATCATTCACATGTATAACGTAATAAAAACACATCACAGGTTTTCATTTTTAAACTTAAAATACCCAAATATAAAAAAAAAAAAAAAAAAACAGCAACATTATATTACTAGAAAATCACCTATATTACAACGAAAAAATATTAGTTTTTCTATATTTTAACCCTAAAAACTAACATTTGTTATATTTTAACCCTAAAACCCCTAAAAAATCCTAAAAATACTTTTCCTTTGATGTGTGTCAGAATAAGTAATAATTAATATTCAAGTAAAATCTAAATTCTATTATTCAATAATTTTATTAAACTAATTGTTGTTGTAAAAAAATCGCCACCGACGGCTTAATCGGAAAAGCCTGTCGGAATTGATTTAATCGTAGGGTTCCCCGGCCTCCTCAAGAAAGGATCCGGGTTATCTCGCAATAACCGAAAAATTAACGAAGAAAGAAGGTAAAATTGGAATGAATGCTAAAAATTAAGTTGGAATTAACGGGAAAAAACTGTAGAAGTCTGAAAGTAATGCAGGAAATTAAATTGCAGAAAGGAAAAAAAATTAATGCAGAAGAAGGTGATTTTTTGTTCCGGCGTCTTCTTTTCCCTTTTATTCTCTAAACCTTGTTCGGATAAAGTTTACTCCCTTATTTTTCTCCAACTTCCCCCAAATTATTCTCACTTTCAAATTATGCTTTATCCGTTTCTCCTTTGACCAAATATCCCACTGATTTGGGCCTTCTTGTGGGCCGTGTTTCTCCCAAGGTCGGACTCCCGCTTGGGCTGGCCCTTCGGTCAAATTTTGGAGTGTACAAATGCCCCCCACAAAACTATCTGGGTAAAAATTAATTTGGTCTCCAGATAGTTTTGTAACCTCCTGAATCTTGGTTCGCGCGTGTTGTTCCATCTTCTTGGCATTGCTCCAAACACTTCACTCTTTTACTTTCTCTCCCTCTCTCTTCACTCGCGAAAGAAACCCTGATTCTCCAAGCTCCTCCCTTCGTCTCTCGCCAGAGATTTCTTCCGATTTCCCATGGTGACCCCCGAGCCTCGGCGCTTCCTTCTGACTTCTCACGGTAAGGCGTGGTCCTCTCCTGACGATGCTACCGGACGGCCTTCTCACTGGTTTCGGTGACCGGCGAGCATAGGGACGCTAGCGAGGTTTGCCCACGGTCTTTTCACCACGGGGGGAGTTCCGATGTCTAGATCGAAGCTGGGTGTTCAGTCCGGCCGTCACCTTCCGACACGCTCCGAGAGAGTTCCCCTGTCGGCCGGCGGTACTCGATTTGGACTCGCGCCTTTTGCGAAAGATCGAGACAAACTGCCGGAAGGTTCTTTCGACGCCCTCGGCGGGGGTAAGCTTTTTCTAGCCCAATC